CTGAGCTAAAGAGGGGCCAGATGACAACAGCCCGTGTGTCACAGGAAGGAGCCTGCCATCAACCTGGAGACAAGAGAAGCTGAAGAATTTTTAGTAGGAAAGTGGCATGATCTGATTTGCATTTTAGGAAGCTCTCTCTGACTGCAGTCTGGAGGGTGAATGGGAGGGGGCAAGACTGGAAACAGAAACCCTGGGAGGACAGATGGTAAGAATTCAGGTGAAAACGGGTGAGGGTCAGAGCTAAGACTGTGGGAGGGAGGCTGGGGGAGGTGGCGGGACATGTATAGGAGCGGCCCTTGGGAGGCAAAGTGGGAGGACTGAGTGGTTGGCAAGACACAGGAGTGAGGGTGAGGGAGGGAGAAGTCACAGAGGATGTGAAGGTCTGGGGGGTGCCATTCATGGGACAGGGAACCCAGGAGGAGAAGCAGGTAGACAGGGCAAAGAGGGATGTATCAACCAGGGTTCTCCCAAGAAACAAAACAAGTAAGATGTGTGTGCACAGGTGCATGTGTATGTACATATATACACACATACACACACACACACACACACACACACACACATGATTTATTTCAAGGGACTGACTTACATAATTGCGGGGGCTTGCAAGTCTGTTTTCTGTAGGCAAGCTGGCAGGCTGGAAACTCTGGTAAGAGCTGATGCTGCAGTTTGAGGGCAGAATCTCTTCTTCCTCAGGAAAACCTCAGTTGTGCTTTTCAGGCCCTTCAACTGACTGGATGAAGCCCTCGCACATTATGGAGGGTAACCTCTTTACTTAAAGTCAACTGATGGTGGACGTTAACCACATCTACAAAATACCTTCTCAGCAACACCTAGATCAGTGTTTGATTAGATAACTGGGTACTGTAGCCTAGCTAAGTTGACACACAAAACTGAACATCACAGGGGTGGGGACAGGGGGTTCATCCCATCTAGAGATGTGAGAGGCCCATGGGCCCCCAAGTGAAGACTTCTGGCTGGCCGACGCAGGTCTGAGCCCAAGGATCCTTCCAGGTCCCTGTCACTTCTCCTCTGACAGTGCCTGACTAGCCCGGATCCCCACCTCCAGGTCTGTGTCTGCTCTAGGCCTTCCACCCTCCCTGCCACCCCAAAGTGAACTTCCCAAAGCATACGTCTCAGCCTGTCTCTTGCCGGCTCAGACCCCTCTGACCGCCCCCACTCTTCTCAGATAAAGCCCCTACAGGGCTCATAAGGCTCCTCGAGGACTGACCGCAGCCTACTTCTCCGGCCTCACTTGCTCCTTTTTCCTTTAACTCCAGACATGCTGACCAACTCCCGCCCCAAACTCACTCGCTGCTCTGCGGTGCTATACCGCGGGGAACCACGCCCTCCTTGCTCCTCCCAGCGCATGCCTCATACAGCTGACCTATCTGGTGAGCTCAGAGCCTTCCTTCAGGACTCAATTAAAATGTTTTCTCTGTTCCTAAGCCTCACTAGGCCAAGGCAGGTGAGGCTTGTGCAAGCCTGGATTACAGCACTCACCGGAATGTATTTTGATTATTTCTCCTGTCATCTCACCATTACACTGTGAGCTCAAGGGTTCATACTACGTCTTATTCTCCTCCGTATCCCCAGCACTCAGTACGGTGCTTGGTACAAGAGGTACTCGATATTTGCTTGTTAAACGGATGGATGGATGAAAGGACGGATGTGGCTGGGTGCGTGGATACAACAGTTTTCTAACAACTTCTGGCTATCACTGACTGGGCACTTCTGTTGTTCCAGGCACTGTGCTAGGAACTTTAAGTCCAGAATCAGTCCAGGTTCTTGGCTGCAGGAAGCAGAATCAGACTTTGGCCGTCATAAGCAAAAAGGAAATTCACCAGAAGGTTATCAGATGGATCACAGAATCAGAGGAGGCTACGGAAGCCAACTCAGAAACGGGCAGAAACTGAGGGAGGCTAGCCAGCGGAGACACATGCAGGTCACATCTCAGAAACAGCCTGATCAGGGTGCCACCGCTGGCGTCGCCCACACTGGACACTCCCTCCAAGGGTGCCAGAAGCTTGAGATTCCCACTGCCCCCTCCACTGCTGTGCAACATGTGTACCTCACCTCGTGTGATCCACACAGCCCTTTGAGGCAGGTAATCTCACCTCCATTTTACAGATGAGGAAACTGAGACTTAGAGAAGCCTAAGGTCGCCAGCCAATCAATAGAGTGGGGGGGGGGTTGGAATCAATAGCTGTCAGATGCCAAAGCCCATTGCCGTCCACTCCGCTCTGCACTGTCTCCTTCAAGGAGCACCACGCACCGTTCTTATATAAATGCAGTTCCCTGGACAGTGCTACACAGCAGCCCTGAAATTCCAATGTGCTAGCTTTTTTGTAACTATATATGTGGGGTATGTTTTTGGCCCTGACAACATCAGCACAAGAAGGCTGAGTAGGACTTCCCTGGTGGTGCAGTGGTTAAGAATCCGCCTGCCAATGCAGGGGACACGGGTTTGAGCCCTGGTCTGGGAAGATTTCACATGCCGTGGAGCAGCTAAGCCCGTGCGCCACAACTACTGAAGTCCGCGCGCCTAGAGCCTGTGCTCTGCAACAAGAGAAGCCACGACGTTGAGAAGCCCGCGCACAGCAACGAAGACCCAACGCAGCCAAAAATAAATAAATAAAAATAAATAAATTTAAAAAAAAAGAAGAAGGCTGAGTAGAGAGAGGGTCTGTGCCCTGACGTGGGCTGATTGAAGATGTTTCCAGGAGGTTATACGTCAGCCATCCAGGGATGCTAGAAAACAGGGGCCTGGCCTGAGGCTCAGGGAGGCCTGCAGAATCTGGCCAAGGACTCCTAGTGTCCTCACCTCTCCCTTCCGGCTCCCGTGTTCCCAGGCTGCACATTAGCCGCCCAGGGCAGGCTTATGACAAGAACACTCAGAGGCCCCTGCTCGGCAGCCCCGCCACATCCAGGGTCACAATTTGGCTTTGCCAGAAGATTCCCCCACCAAGCATGTCCTCCTCAGACCCAGATGTCCTGGAGAGGCAGGGAACCCAAGCACCCGATCCTAGTCCCAGCTGCACCTCCACCACTCTGTGACCTTGGCCCAACCTTTCTGGGCTTCAGTTTCCCTATGACTCAATCCTTCCTCTGCTGCCCCTGCCCTCCCACCCTCCCACCTCCCACACTGGCCAAATTGTTCATAAAAAAAGATCTCAGGTTCTCTGAGCTCTTTGGAGAGACCACATAAATGCAGGGCATTATTAGCACCATTACTATTAAATATTAATAATGACATTAGCATTGTCTATTATAAGCCTGAAAAGAAGCTCCGAGAAGCCCTGGGTTGAAACGGCTAAGAGAATAATTAGGCCCCTCCGGGCCGCAGACCCCTTCAGGCCCTCAAGCAAAATTAGGAAGGCAAATGTGGATGGAGTAGTGAGATTTCCAGCCCCCAGGGGGCTCAGTTCAGCTTGGCTCCTCCTAGACCTGCACAAATCATGCTCTTTCCAGCCCCCAACACCCTCATGCCAGGAATGCATTCCCCACCTCTGTTCTGTCCATCCAGGCCCAATTCAAGATGCACCCCACCCCACCCCCACTGATGGAAACTTCACCCACCTCCTAGCTCCCTCTCTCCCCCCACCTGAACTGTCACAGCGGTTATTCTCCACCATTCATTCACCAGTCAACAAATAGTTATGTGAGTCTCTACTAGGCACCAGTCACTATGTTAAGCCAGGGGTGGGGGCGGGGGGAAGAGACATTAATGAGATAAGCTCTGCCTTCAGAGACTGCAGTGGAGGGAATTATAACCAGTGTTTTGCATGGCACTTGTTCATACAAAAACTGCTTTTAAAATCATGTTTTATCCACATGTCCTTACAACTATTCTAAGTAGGAATAGGATTATTCCCATTTTACTGATGAGGAACTGGATTCTCAGAGCGATTAAGTGTCCTTCAGTGACCTGCCATCTTCATCCAGCTGGAGGTGACAGAGCAGAGTCCAGCTCTCTTGAATGTGAATCCAGAGCCACCCAACCCTCGAAGTGGAGAAGGGCTCAGCCTCGTAGGTGCCCACCCTCGTTACAGATGGGGAAGCTGAATCCTAAAAGCATCCAAAGGGAAGTAGTGACGTTTATTGAGCACCTACTATGTGCTTAATTCAAAGCTCACACCAACTCAGTGAGGTTTGTGTTTTAATCCCCATTTTCCAAATGGGGAACCTGGGGCTCTGAGGAGGTAAGTGGCTTGCCCAGGGCCACGCAGCCCAGAAGTAGCAGGACTATGTGTCAAGCTGGTCCTGTTTCAGAGCTTTGCCCAACCTGCCTGTCACTCTTCCCCAAAGCTATGGATGGACCGTCCTGTTACCACCGTCAGACTGCTTCCAGAAAGGTTACAGGCACACTGAAGGCAGACCACATCCTGTGGCTCTCGAATCCCCCACTGTTCTAGGCAGAGACACGGCTCCATAAACACATAAACATTCCTGGGACCTCTAGAAAAGGTCTGAAACCAGAGGTAAAGAGGCTGGCGGCGGGTGGGGGGCAGGAAAGGCTATGTGAGGCTTGGCACTGAGGAGGGAGGAGATCAACACCTTCAGGGCCCTGGGGCCTGGCAAGGTCTCAGCTCCTCTCCACTGGTCCCCTGGGGCTGGCCCGAGGCCCCTCCTTGACCACTGGAGATCCACTGGTAGGGCCTCCGGAGGAAGGAGCAGATGGTCTGGGCAGGGTTGGGTGGCCCTCAGGATGCCTTCTGGGACCCCCCGCTCTGGGATCACCACATGCTTACAGGCAGATCAGTGACCCATTAGATTAGCTGCCTGATCATCTTCGGGTGGCCCTTCTCTGCCCCATCTGGACGTCTATGGAAACTCAACTTGGAGATGAGGTGTCCCGCTCTAGACAACAGGGAGACACACTGATTAGCTACAGAAAGGAGAGGGGCCCTTACAGTCAACCGTGCTGAGGATTCTGGGATCTGACAGGCACCAAAAACGAGTGAACTGTCCTGTCCCCTGCTTTGCCCACCTGAGAAGTGCAGGTGATGGGGGGCTGGAGCCAGACCAGCAGTCTCTGCTTCTCCACTTGATTACTTTGAGCAGGTTCCTTAATCTCTCTGAGCCTCATCTGTAAAGTGAGCATAATAATAACAACACATACCCCCTTGGGTGGATAATTCAGGTAAAGCACTTAGTACAGTTCCTGGCACACTGGAGATACTCAAGTTATTATTAATAATTTACACAATAATTAATAATACCATTATAAAATATTTTTGTCATTATCGAACTAATGGACCCACAAGCAAAACTCAGCCTAGACCCCCAAATGCTCAGCCCACTCTCTTGTCAGAAACAGAAGCACTGTAGAGGCCAGCAATGAGGAGCCTCCCAAACCACCCAGATCCATCCGAGATGAAACTTTGGGAAATGTTTCCCAAATCCAGTCCTAGGCTTAGTTTCACTTAGTTTTACTCCACTTAGTTTCACTCTTGTCTTCACTTACTGTGGCTGCTGGAGCCCACCTGGGCAGGGCAGGGCAGGGCAGGCAGGTTGCAGAGGGATCTGAGAGCATCTTAAAGACCCCAGCCACCTGTGTCATTGGGACGGGAACTGTGGCCTCCCCAACGACCCAGCTCCCACCACAAGGGCAGCAGCTGTCCTAAAACAGAGTCACAAAGACAGCAGTGTCAATCTAAAGCAATCCTCCTTGCATGCATTTCCAGAACCTTGGCCCCTGAGTCAGCCAATGGCTGGTCCGTCAGTCCCAGGGCAGCAGCTGAGCCATCCCCTCTTGGCAGCCATCTCTGGTTGGAGAGAACTCTGAAGTCCTCTCCTCAGAGCCTGGGCTGACCTGGGCAGGGTCAGAGGGCAGGGCTCACCTCAGGAGCTCGGGGTCCACGTGCCAGCCCCAGGAAGACAGACAGACAGACAAGGACAATGTGGGCAGAGGCAGAAAAAGGAAGGACATCCTGGAAGGAACTTGCACAGCAGCAGTCCAAGTTATCCAAGAGATGTGGCTCACACAGTCTCCATCAGGAACAATGAAGACTATCTCCCAAGTTGGGAAAGCTCTATGGAGGGGCAGCAGGAGGACCGGCGGGGAGAGCATATGGGACCTGGGCAGGCATTCAGGTCTTGGAGGCTGCGCAGCAGACCCTCTTCCACACCACACCTCCTTCTCCCTTCCCAGGCCCTTCTCTGTGGTCCCAGGTCTGTCCCAAGCCCCTGTGACCCCCTCCACTCAGGAAGACATGGAACCATGTCCCAGGCTTGACAGGTATGCTTATTGAAAACTCTGATGCTGGCCTGGCCCTGCCAGCTGTTTCTAGCATCTGGACCACTCACCAGTCTTGTCTGTGCGAGCTGGACAGCAGGTGGACCAGAGGGGGGTGAGAGAACAGTGACAGCCTGACGGGGCCCACTGCCACCACAGATGGCTTGTCCCTCCTTCTCCAGGCCCCAGCCTTCCTGGGCACACCTGCCACATGACAGGAGCAGAGCAGGAGAGATGTGTCACTCACCTGGGTGAGCACCTAGAATCTCAGAGCTGGCAGGGGCCTTGGCCATCTTTAACCCCTTCGGGTTACCAGTGAGGCTCAGAGAGGGCGGAGCACTTACCCTAGAACACACAGCCAGTAACTAGCAGAGCCCAGACTACCTTTCAGACATTCAGACCCCCAATCTAGTGAGCTTTTCATGACAATACACAGCTGACTGATTGAAAATGGGCTTGGATCCATATGCACTGATGTGAAAAGGTGCCCAAGATCTATTATATAATTTTAAAATATTTTGCAAATCATGATATATTGTGTGATCCATTTGCGTAAAATAATACTTATAACCCATGAAATTATATACATGAAAATAGTAAACCTGGAGGCATGTGATTTAAATTTGTTAAGGTACTTTCACTATCTATTTTTAAATTTCCTCTAATGTTCGGATATTTTGACCAAGAGCCCGTGTTACTTTTATAAGCAAGGGAAACAATAAAAATAAACACGTAAGGTGGGCAACGGAGGCAGCCCTCCACCCCACTTGCTTTGCACCACTAACTGGGGATTTCTGATTCGCAGCCCTTCCTCTAATAGGGGCTTTCTGGAGGAAACAAGGAGTTTGCCTCCATAGGTCTCTAGGGTTTGAGGACAGGAGCCACTTTCTTTTGCCTCCTCACCGCACCCCTCTCCAGCCCTTCCGTTCTGGGCTGGGCAGGGAAGGTGGGGGCAGGCAGGCCAGACAGCGCCAGGAGCTGAGCTGCCCATGCCTTATGGAAGACGCGGGCGCCTGGCTCGCTCCCTAGCCCTTAAATGACAGCAAATGAGGTAAAGCCAGGAGGGTGGGGACGGGAAGGGGGTGGGAGGGGGGCAGAAGGAAGCCGTCTCCAGGGCCCCGAGCGAGCGTCGGGAGCCAGCCAGTGAGCGGAGCCTGGGAGAGGGAGGAGCACATCTTGATGCAGAGATGCTGCAGTGGCTCCAGCGCGCGCGCACACACACACACATACACGCGCGCGCGCGCGCCCTCGCCCGCCACCGCCACTGCCGCCGCTGCCGCGCCAGGACAGCAGGGATCAGCTGAGGCTGAGGCGAGCCGGGAGGAGAGGAGGGCGGCCCAGGGGGCTATGAGCAGCGTCCACCTACCCCAGCCAACACCCTTCTTTCAGCCCAGGTAGGTGCCAACCGCTTTTGTCTCCTCCAGTCCTGGGGCTTCCCAGGGCGCTGCTGTGGGCAGGGGCTCCGCGTTCAGTTTCCTGGCAACTTGGGAGGGGGCAGGGACAGGGCAGGAACCCCAGCTGGCTGGCAGGGGCCAGTCTGACTTCTCACCCCAGCCCCACAGGGGCCACCAGGACTGGAGATGCCCTCCGCCCTACGTGGGTGGCATCCTTCAGGGCCCTAGCAGGCCAAGCCTGGCCCGGAACCTGGACCCCAGCAGTGTGTCCAGGAATTCAAGCCACAGGCTGGTAGCAACAACTGCCTCCGGAGAGGGCAGAGGCTATGGGCCTGCCCCACACCCCTGGTCCAGGGCTTGACCCTCCATGAGGCCAAGTCCCAGACCCTGACCTGCGCCCAGATATCCCTAGATGGAATTGAGCCTGGCTGCCCAGACTTGAGGTCCCCCTGGGTCTGCCTGTGCAGGGTGACCTCTTTGCAAAGTCTTGCTTCTGTTCGGCAGAGGGGGAGGCTGTGGGAGACAGGGAGAGACTGGAGCACAAGTTTGGGCAAAGCCCTGTCCTGGAGCGGGGACATAGGGAGGAGAAACTGAGGCAAGTCACATCCCTTCCCCCCTCCCCAACCTTATCTTCTCCTCGGATCCCTCCCCCTCAGCCTCACCGGTGGGAAGAAAGGATTTGCAGAAGTTTGGCTTTCCAGTGGGGAAAGGGGCTAGGCTAGAAGGGGGAGGGGTACCGTTTAGGGGGTCTAGAAAGAGAGGGCAATCCTTCTGTCCAGCACTGTAGGGCTTACATAATAGCCAGTGGTGGGGGAAGCAGCCCCAGCCAGTGTCCAGAGATGAATCCCATCACCTTCTCCAGGAGGGATTCCCAGGTCTGGGAGGCAAGGAGGGGGGTGAGCTGAGACAGTGCCTGTGGAAGGAGAGTCCTGACCCTACACAGGGAAAAAGCCAGGGACCCTTCAGCCACAGAGCACTGGGGGCTGAGCCTGTATCCCAGGAAGAAAAGTTGTCAGTCAAGGTTGTTTGGAGGTTTGGGAATCTAGACAGACCAGGATGGAGTGAGCTGTGAGTACCCATGGCCCCTGCCCTGGAGAAGGGCAGGTTTTTTAGCCCCCAGGTTTCCTGCCCTTAACTTCCCCCACTTCATGTCCAGCCTGCAACTGGTCAGACTCTTATCACCCTTTCCTTTCAGCCTGACTCCCTAAGGCCCCAAACTCCCTTCCCATTCCAGCTGGCATCCTTTCTCTTCTGCTCAAAGGGAAGCAGTAGGAGGAAGAGCCCAAATAACCCAGGAGGTTGGTGATCTGACATCATTCTGGGCAGCAGTCTCAGGCTCCTCTCCCAACCTCCTGCCTGGAGAGCCCCTACCTCCACTTAGCCTCTGAGTCCCCGCCTCCCAGCTGCGCTCAGAGGGAACCAGACGGAGCCACCGGAGATCAAGGGCAGCAAAGGGTGGGCCACCTGTGGGAGAGGCTGGAGGTGGAACAGGGAGATGGTGCCCTGACTCCTGTCCTCGGGGGGAGGGAGTTCTTCCCTTAGACACAACAGCATCCATGCCCTTCCCCAGGGTGCCCCACAATTAACCCCTTCTAGCCGGGCTGCAGGACCACTCAAGTAAGGCTTTGACCACAAGGTCAAAGTTCTTCCTAATTTCCCATGAGATCTATCAGGAGTTGCCAGCCGGCAAGAGGGAGGTGGGAGGTGAGACAGACAGGGAGGGGCCGCAGAGCCCATGGCATCAAAGTCACCCAAGATCCACCTGTCCTTCTGGGGCTCACCATAAGCAGTGAGGGAAGCAGGGGTACACTGCCCTAGGAAAGGTGTCCCCTGCTCTCTCTCTCTCTTATTCCCCACGCGTCTTCTATGCCCCGCCCGGCCAAGCTCTCTCCTCACATTCCCTTCCTGGTCGAATGCACTCCTCCACCTACCCCGCACCGTTCCCCCTGCCAGATTTCACTCCTTATGCAACTCCATTCCAGCACCTTCTCTGCCAGCAGTTGTTCAAATAGAGACACGTGTGGAATGGGCCTCTGAAGAAGTGTGCTCAACGGGATGGTTGCACACATTGTCTCTGACCAACTGACCACACTTGCTCCTCAGGAGTAAGTACAAAGAAGGAGGTGCCCCCAAGGTATCCTCTCTGACTTTAAGGCCATCAGGGAAGCAATACCTTTGGGGTGGTTTGGAGAATGCACTGTGCCCCACCTCCCAGAAACATCTTCAGCCAAATGTTTGTGAGAAAGCTTGTCTACACACATTTATGCCTGAGGCTGGAACCACAGGGCTAAGGATTGATACAAAGGGAAAGAAGAACTAGAGCAAAAGATATGCCAGTGAAGCAGGAGGGATTGAAGCTAGACTGCAGGAGACACTTCCTCACCAGGAAGACGTGCCATGAGGAAGTAGGGCAACCTCCTTTCCAATGACTCTGAGGGTGTGGAGAACTGGGGTCCGTCCAAGCTTAGAGACAGTCCTGCCTAGAAGTAGAGGTTGGGCTAGGTGACCTGTTAATTTCTCCCAGCCTCAGGTTATCCTCTTGCAAATGGTACAGGGGGAGGTGACTCAGGAATCCATAAGAAGACAGACATCCTTTTCTCTCCCTCCTGCATGCTGACCACCTCTCAACCTTCCGGACCTCCCTAATCTAGACCAAACCCCCCAGGACTTTGCTAACTTGGAACATTCATGGGAGTTCCCATGGGTTCTGTGCCCCAATGGTAACTGTCCTGGAGTAAAGAAGTGCTTCCATGGGTTTAATGAGTTCTCCTGATGCAAAATGAGCCCATGTTTCCTTGTTTACCCAGAGAGGATGCAAACAAAAGCAAAAGTGTGTGACATTCTCACCCAAAACTGAACACACTCTATCCCAGAACATGTGCAAACCCAAGTGCACCTCAGCATCTTTATCTGATGAGCCCCACCCCACACTTGGGGCACCCATCCAGATGAAACCTGCTGGGTCTCCTCCAGCCCAGCCCACATCCTCTC